CAGAAGATGCGGGTTCGAATCCCGTCCGTGGTCCGACTTTTGCCCACAACTCAGCATTCTTGTGATAGCTTTCGGATCGCGCTCTGCGGCGCTAAACAGCAGTTATCCAACAATAACAGTTTATTTCGAAATATTGCCATGAAATGATCAAAATGACCAATTCCCATACACGGGCTTATATCATATTCGAATCGATGAATACTTTACTTGGAAATCAACTGTGCGGCGCATTCCATAGGATTCGTGGGCTAAAAATGAACTTCCTTTTTTCACCTTGTTGTCTAGTTTTATAGTTTCTCTTTTCAATATTTATCGTAGATCATAGGCCCCGTATAGAGCACTCTATGTTGCGCCATGCATTTGATTTTTATTTGGAAATGCTGATGTACTCCAACTTTTATGGCATTCAAAGAGTAGTTAACGTCCTAGGTCTGAATTTATCTTAGCAACTTTGGGGATAAATACAGTTTCCGGAGGTGGACGTGGGATGGGATCTAATTCCGTGAAGCCTACAGACAAGGCCTTCGGTTTGTTATTAATTGACCTTTGCCAATGTAGCAGCCTGGGCGTTAAGAAAACTCAAGACTTCGCTATTGCGATTCCCCTCCCAACAATACAGAAGGCTTTTCTAGTTTTTATTTTTTACAAAGGAAATTCACCCGTAGACCGCTGTTAGTAATGTGTGAAATGTTTCGCTGAAATCAGACTTGTTGTTAGTTTCGGTATCACCGGCATATTCCGTACTTCTCGTGTGGGCAGAGTTCGATTCCTATGCATTTTGTGCCCACTCTTAATTGGTTGTCATATCCGCTTTTTCTGTAAGGTCAAAAGGTGTATCAATAAAAAGGCACCTTTTCAGTATCGGCTGGGCGCAGTTCGACGATTGGGGGGGGGGGGCATTTTGCACTTTCGCTGCTTCACTAGTTCCGGTTTACAAGGTTCTATGAAGTTCTCTCTCTGGTGAAACTTGTGAACCCTTGTGAATCTAAAGCAAGCTCGTCTAGCCACCACGGTAGAACTGCCAGCTCTCGTAAGCTAACGGAAAGGCGCTGTAGGTGGGTCGACACGGCGATGGAAAGTAGCAGAAGTGCAAAATGCCCCCGTCGTCGAACTACCCCCCCCCTGCTGGCCCACATGGCAAGCGTGGAATATGCATTTGATCTTCTATTATGGGCATTTATGCTTTTTGAATGAATGATTTCTCCATTTCCTTCAACATTTTCTTTTTCAGTCGTGGATGGACACCGAGCATCGGGTCATTCTCAACGTTGGTGGTATACGACATGAGACCTACACACATGTACTGAAAAAGATTCCTGCCACCAGGCTGTCGAGGTAAGCGCTCCATTCAGCGCTCAAGACAATTTTTCAACAAACGCCTTCGTTTGTCTTTCGCCGATCATTGCCTTCGAAATTAGGCGGCGATTGTCAGCGTGAAATTGCTTTCAATGGCTCGGATTTCTCACGGTTCAATTTCACATCCTTAAATGAAGACCGCATTAGCTACAAGCCTCCTGCAGGGATTGCCATCCTCTCAGAAAAATTTATTTATTTATTCATTTCTTTAGTTATTTATTTGTTAGCACATAGTGTACACCATCGACAGCAAAACAGCCGTTAGTAACACAGAAAACAAAGGAAGGAAAAAACTGGACATGGAAGAAACCAACAAACCGCTAGATATACTAAACAAAATGATAGGCAGTAGATAAAAGAAAGTCA